CTCTCTTCTCCCTCCTCTCTCTCTCTCTATTGCTCTCTCTCTCTCTCTCTATTGCTCTCTCTCTCTCTCTCTCTCTCTCTCTCTACCTTCTCCATTCTTAAGTTCGTTTAATGTAATTGTGTGGCACTGCAACGTGGCTGTACGTAGCGGGTACCAGCTCTCTACATATGTGCGGCCTTTCTGTACCACAAAAACGCCGCCGCGGTGCGTTAACATCTTAAAAATCACAATATAGGTGAAAAATAAACTAAGAAATTTACGCGCAGCGACACGTAATGGAAATAGTTCATGATAACTAGTTCAACATTCAACCAATAACTAGCACTCTTCGTAATCATAAACGATTAAAATATTTACTAATAATTACGATAATACAAGAAATGGCATCGCTTAAAATGACCCTCTTTGCTAACACGGGGAACAAGACCGAGTTTTTTATCCGATAAAAAATCAATCGATATTGCACTGCTATGTTCGTGCTCTACTAACGAGCGTCTGTTCTTATTAGTGTATGGGTTATCAAATCTCTCAGTATGCGACTGAGGGAAAACAAGGTAAAACTGTGACAACCGAACGCCCTTATATCATTTGGCAGAAGGGCACGTGGAATGTATATCTTAGAATATTACTGTCAAAATTTACCAAAATATATCATTTTTCATATGAAGTCAATGAGGGAGGTCTGAATTCACATCTCTGGCATGACTGAATGTAAGACATAGCAAGATTTTGCCAACACAGTTCACTTGTTCAATATACCTTGTACGGTAACTCTCTTGCTCTCTAATCTTCTCTGGCTCCTAGTCACTTATTCACCGGCTGGTGTGATTGTTATAAACAAAAGGTGCTGAATAAAGATCTACATCAATCTATCTATCTACATATCTCTCTATTCTAGCTTCTATGCATGCTCAACGCATATACGTAGTATGTTTTCTCTTCACCAACATGACCACAAACAGCGGCTATAATTTTATGTTACAAAATCACTTTTGCAAAAATGGCACAATGGTACATAACCGTTGTCAAAACAAGATAGCAGTGCTAAAAACAAAAACTCAAATTTAACATAAAAGGCTACAGTGTGACCTTGCACTATTAATAGTATACCTGTCTATACATTTTGTTTAGGAAATATGATCACTAGAGCATTCGACAAACTGTTCGAACTGAAACACCTGAGACACTCTCCCATATAAAACTAAACAGAATAACACAACGTTTTGTAAAATTTATGCATTTACGTTAATAGTCCATCTAGCTAACTATTTTGTTGATGCTCATGTAACATATTTTTGCAATTTAATATGTAAAGTTTCTGGCAACGGGCCCCTGGTATATCGCCATTCCTGTCATGATCAGTATCTCATCTTGAAGATTGTTTATCGCATTGGCAATTATGAGCTAATAACATAATGACCTTGGTCGACAAATGTGAATGTAATGAGGTATGCCACTTGTCAGCAACAGTCCTGGCATTGCAGAGAAAAATACTTCTCTCGTTCTATGACACATATTACTGCATATAAATTCTACTAAAATAGAATTTGGTCCCCAAGTCATTTGTCAAATACGAAATTATGCATTAAAATATGATAAATGGAATGAATAAATGAAATCGGATAAATTCAGTTAAGAACTTAAACGGGACATCATTATGGGCAGTGCTTCTGATAAATGCTTCATCGCAGCATTACACATCTACAAATATAGGCCACTGCACCAGTTCTCTTGCTGCCGGCCTCTCCTTGGGACACATCTTCATGCATTGCATAGCAAAGTTCTTCAGCTCCGCGCACAAGCGATCGGGAAGCGGAGGCGGCGTTTTCGAGTTACCTATCTTCCACCAGAGCTGGAAGTGGTTGGAGATGTCGGTGGCGCCCCACGGTGGCTGCGCGGATGACATCTCGATCACGCAGCAGCCGACGGCCCATACGTCGCAGCTCCTGCCGTAGTCCTCCCCCCTCAGCACCTCGGGCGCCATGAACGCCCACGTTCCCACCGGCTGCTTCTCAAACTCTCCTGATCGACACGTAAACAATTCGACCGGTTACCACGGCGATACTCGAACAGTCGACACACGTCCTGCTCTGTGAGAAGTGTAGCATTGCGAAACCACAGTTCTACTGCGCAACATAGAGATGCAATCCGATTCTATGCTAGGTGCTCTTGGCCACTGCAGGTTGTGCGTGTGTGTCTCGTAACATATATATATATACATCCTTAGAAAATAACTACCTATATTATATCTGACATCGTCAACCATCATTGCCTGTCAACAACCCCCACCCCTACATTCGACGACAATAAACCTTCCCTACAGAAGCATGGCGGAGACGATACATACCATACGTACGATACACACGGCGAAGAAGAGACATACCTGCTGCGGTGATGCTGGCAGCTATGAACGACCATTAACCCCGCAATACTCAGACATGTCGTGTCGACACACGGTCAGCTGCATGGGAAGCATAGCGGACACGATAAATACCATATATATACGATACACACGGCAAAGAACCACGACAAGAAGATTCTGCACCGCGACCTGAAGGGCGCGAACCTGCTCGTCGACAGCACCGGCCAGCGGCTGAAGATAGCTGACTTTGGCATCGCGGCACGCCTAGCTGCCAGCGCCACCGCACCAGGTATGTCTCAAGTAGACGAGGCCCAGGAGCACCTGCAGCAATACGCGTGCGCGCACGAAATATCAAAATCGGTGTCCGAACTTATGTTGAGGTCCGTCGAGGTGTCAAAAACGAATTCTGAATTTATATTTAACAATATATATAAGAATTTATATTTAATAATACATATAAGAATTTATATTTAATAATATATATAAAAATTTATATTTAATAATATATATAAGAATTTATATTTAATAATATATATAAAAATTTATATTTAATAATATATATAAGAATTTATATTTAATAATATATATAAAAATTTATATTTTTCGATTTCATCAAAGCGCTTTCTTTGCCGCTACGAATCCCGCCGCTCGAGGTGACGCCATGAGCGAGACAAGCGCGCGTTCACGGGAGAGCCCTGCGGGACATCGACCAGAATTCTTTCTCTCGCCGCTTCTGCGAGGAATTCTTTCTCTCGCCGCTTCTGCGAGGAATTCTTTCTCTCGCCGCGGGGGAGTTCTCTACTCACCTGGCGAACATAATCGGTGACGACGGCGTCCGAGAAGGCGCCGTACTCTGCGAGGAGGCACGCCACCGAGCCGCCGGCCATCCACTCTGCGAACAGGTTGAAGTGCTTGGCGCGGCGCGACGCGCCGTACACGCGCACGACGTGAGCGTGCTCGAGCTGCGTCATCGTCGCGATCTCCCACTCGATCTCGCGGATCGCCTTCACCTGCGAACAACGACAAAACAAGTGAACGTCGCGCCTCGTCGGATTCGAACGATAACGATCGGATAACGAATTTCGAATTCGTAGAGATTTTTTGATTTCATCAAAGCACTTTCTTCGGTCACGTGCCTTTGCTGCATTTCTGTGGGATTTGGGTTAGCTTTCTTCCCACGCATTGTTTATGTATACATACAGATGACAGGTTCGACTATCTCTCAGACCAAAATTGCGAGAGCAAAGACAAAATGGCATTTATAACTATCGCTTAGCAATTTATACCTCCCAAATAAAATAAAAATCTATGAATATACACAATCCTACGCTAATTTATGCCCGACATTTTATGCCCTGTTGTGACATTTCTTGCATAAACAAGAATAAACGTACAACATTAAAATCACCAGATTTACGTTCCAAGGATTTACATTCCATCGACGGCCCAACCTACGCAAGAAGGGTATGGTAACATCCCATTTCGTCTACTCTCAGAATCGGCAATATTATTGTACTCCCATTGTACGTTCCAATTTTGTGTCTCCATTTTTGTCAAGTTGTGTTCTCATTATTTGTACCTATGTTTTCTTCTGGTTCCTGTAGTCTATGTATGCCAATCAAAACCATAATTTATTATTTATAAATGATTATTTAGTGAACTGATCGTAGACAAATGGGAATGGGGTAGATTTTGAGCGTAGACGAATTGGGAGTAGGCGAAATGGGTGTAGGTCAACTGGGAATTTTGCCGTAGGCGAAATGGGAGTAGGCCAACCGGGCATAAACCGTGAGAAGACCCCCCGTAACACTCACCTGATCGTCTTGCGCATTCCGACAAAAGGAAAGCTGCTTTACTGCCATCAACGTCCCGGTTTTGGTGTCTTGTACGTGGTAGCAGGACGAGTAGGCCCCAGCACCCAGCAGCTTGCCCTTTATCCAGTGCACGCCCTCCAAATATTCCGTGGAGCAACGGCAGTTCTTATGCTGCACGATGAACGGTACAGTTATTTTTAACACGATCACAATCGTATACGCACAAACGCGCATATTCAGCCTGACGCAGAGACATAACATCTCTAAAAAGAAACTATTTTAATTTAAACAGAAATAATAGATTAGAATGAAAAAGAGAAAAAATTTATTTAATAGAAGTTTAAACAAATTTCTATATTGCATGTTCATTGGTGTCTGTGTGCCTTTTACTTCTTAGCCTTACTGCACACACACGCACGCATGTACACACGTACGTATGCACGCACGAACGCATGCACACACACGCACGCATGCACACACACGCACGCATGCACACACGTACGTACGCACGCACGCACGCACATGAAGCAAGATCTGTTGTCTGTTATATATAATCTAGAAACGTGATTCCTCCTACCTCATCGTCAACGCACACGCTCTCTGGCGCCTCCTCTGCGGTACTCAGCGCTGGGATGCAGGGAATCCGACAGCTCACGCGAGCAGGATCGCAAGAAGCAGGCAGAAGTGAGGTCGTCGCGCGTGATCCGCTGCCGCTGCTGCTGCTCCCCATCCGATCGTCGATCGAACACTTGGTCACTAGATTCTCCAGTATCCCCGAGTCGCACGAGCATGAGATGTCATCCGAGGGAGCACGGCTGAGCTCGCAACTGTCATCAACACGTGGCTTCAATCCGGCAGAGACGGCGTCGTCGCCGTCGCATTTCCCATCGCAGGACGAGCGGCCCTGGCCCTCGGTGCCCTCGAGTGACGCCAGGTCGGGGTGAACACGACTGACACTGCACGTGGACCCTTGGTAGGAACTCCACTGAAATCTGCACAGTGGGCACACAAGAGGCTCGCTCTGCCGGTGACACTCCTCGGCCCCTATGATAAAAATTAATTGACAACGTAATTAATATATACCGTATTTACTCGTGTATGAGCTGCACTTTTTTGTGACGCAACTTCAATAAAAAAAATCAGGGGTGCGACTTATACATGAGGTTAATTATTATTATTATAATTGTTATTATTTATTATTTAATTTTTATTTATTGGAATTCGAAATTCATTTTCCTCTCGTTAGCAGAACACATACAATGTGGGTAACCCTTAATCTTACAACGCACAGTAACCTTTTAAGACTCTTTTGCATTTAATTTATATAGTGTGGTCACTGCCCCAAGGCAGCTGCTGAGTGCTGAGTGTGGTGAGACTGAACAAGAAAGCCAAATGATTGAGTGATCAGAAGCTTCGTACTCACAAATCGACATGCAGTGTTGATGGAGGGAATTCTGGCAGCCGGCCACACAGGTTACCAGACTCTCGCCTTCACTCATTTCCAGCAGACATATTGGACAAACGTCCTCCTCCTTCGTTTCCTCTTCTTCCTTTTCTTCCACATCATCCTTCACCTCTGTCAGCGAGCGAATGGAGCGCTTGGCCTTTTTTCTGAAAAAAACAATGACAGTTTAGCCACCTACATTACGTGGTCAGCAAGTAATAACGAAGGATTATTGTGTGAATGGTGATAACGACAACGATGCTGCCATGTACCGACCAACAACACTTAGCCACTGAGCCTAACCGACACAGCACACGTTTTTTTCGGTGATCGCAAAAGCATTTCGTCATTACTGAACGCAACCGAATCGACTCACCGAGACTTGCTACCTTCCATCCCGGAGGAAAACGCCGGCTGAGACTTGCCGCTGCTCTCCGGTGGCTCAACGTTCTTGCGCGCAGAGTACGCGTGCACTTGCGACTCGCGTCGCGCCTGGTAAGCAATTAGCAGTGCTTCCACCTGTAACGTGACTACGTGTAGCGCAGCTGCTTCTGCCTAGACACCCGTACGATAACGGAGCACGTGAAACAATGCCGAAGATATATTCTGCCGACGACACACACACGTACCTCGTAGTTTTTCAGGGTTCTGCTAGTGATCATGCCATCGGTTTGCGACAACTGGAACACTCGCAGCATAACAAACAGTAGATGCACACAGAAAGGACCACGTCCACACGTGCATGACTGAAACAGAGAGAGCACCGGCATAAGCTGTTGAAAACCATGCATGTTATTAATTAAAGGTAAGTGTTAATTAAGCACTGGCATCATGCCCGTCACATCAGATAAAACAGTGGCGACAACAACATCCAGTGCGACAATTATATCAATTCTACCTTCTAGGATACGATTGGCTTTTGATTCTGCGCATATTTATAGACATTTGCTCCATGGCTTCAAAAGCGTTTTCATTTACCAGATGTCCTCTGCATTCTTCATGCATAATCTTTAAAAAAAAATCATCTACAACACAGCGTATCTCATTCTATGATATCTAAATTCAATCGCATGTCCTTTATATACAGAAAAGAACTACGGGTAGGGATTTATACCTGCGGTCCGACCATAACTCGGTATTTATGTTCGGGCAAGTCGCCTCCTACGAGGAACGAGCTCGGACCGGGCTGGTGCAGCAAGTAAAGACGGGCAGTTAGCGCCTTCTGAATGCGGCGTCGCAAGACGGCCGGATCGAACCCGTCCGTCGGCGACGGAGACCTGCGTCTGAAGCCCGGACTCAGCGCCCGCTGCAAACAATCGTTAGCGCAGCGTCAGCAAGCCGAAACGAGCGCACGATCGATGATCGCAGAACGAATTACAAATCGCATTCGGCAAAGCGCGCACGCTGTCGCGACTGTAGATCGCTTCTGTGTTGGTCAGACAATTATTACATACGAACGGCTTGTACTACACTGCAACACAACATTATTTTGCTTTCTACTCGAGAGAGATGATACATAACTTAACCACGCCACGCACATACAGAGAGCGAACTCGTGCTTTCGCTCAACTATATAACAAAGTAGCTGGCAGCACAAAACTGAATCATTTGCATGTTGCTATGGGCGACGAATGCGTTTACTCACAGATCTCGCTGGCAACGCCTGGCTCGACGACTGACGTTTTGCAGGTGGGGTCGAAGGTCGATGTGTTGCCAGGCTATTACAGCCATTCTGCGGTGTTGCTAACAGACCGTTTTGAATTATCGGCACCGAGGTGACGGGAGCTTTGTGGTTTATGGATAGATGTGCAGCATGTGCTCTAACAAAGGAGTCGCCATTGGGTATCTCTGGCTTTGCTATCTATAAATAGTAAAACATAAATACCAACGAGAGAATTCATGCACTTTGAAAAAATACAATTTATTTTCAACATCACCATCATAATATGTTTCAACTTTCACCTACCACTGGCCCCTTGTTGGTAATGGCAGCATGTTTCCTGCTTTTAAGCGCCTCGCGGAAGTTAGTATCACTTCGCCGTGCGACTTTTAATTTTCTCTCAAGAGGTGGCACAACTGCAGCAGTTGGTTCAGAACCATCTGTACACTCTGTAATATTGCATATAAATACATGAAACACCAAAATTCATATTGATCAAGACATTTACATGAAGCTAAATAAGATCTCATTTGCGCATATATACTATATAATATTAAATAACTACACGTGGTATTGGCATTTTTCAGTTTCGTATGATATGCCACTCAACATGCCCAATAGGCAATACACTAAATTATGGTAGTGCTGTATTTACACAAAATTAAAACTCTAAACAACTTCCTTAACCTAGACCAATATTCAATAACAACTAACAACCAGTAACCCTAACCATTTGGCACTGCCCTGTCAGCATAGCCGTTGCCATATCGAGGGTAAGATTAGTCACGCGATTCTACTAGTACTAGTACTATTCTAGAGTAGACCATTTCATACAATAATAAATTAAAGGAACAGTAGCCTCTAGGTTCTAGGGTTATTTTCAGCTAATTAGGTTATAATGCACTATCATAAAAAGTTTCATGGTTCAATCACGCATTAGAACATTTTTTTAAAGGTTTTAAGAACTAACCGACTAACCAGTTTGATTAGCAACGGACGGTGCTGCCACTCAAAGCGCCACGAATCTTGAGAGTTTCGCAAAAACACACTTTCCAGCCAAGGGCTACAGACCGAGGGGTATTTCTTATTTATTCAATAAAAAGCAACAAGGAATTGTAATATCGTATAACACGACATATAGTTCAGTTTTTATCAATAATGGATACAGTTGCCCTAAAAAATGAATATCGTTCGGTTAATACGAATTAGGTATAATATAATTGCACTTTGTGATTAGCCCCTCGTCATACCCTGCAAAAATAAAAATGCAAATACCGCAGACTTTCAGGTGGCAGCAGCGGATCGCGGGTGTCCATGGGCGCCGTTCAAAATTCCGTACGTTGATGGGTGCAAACCCACTTTAGGCACTAGCGATCACCGAAGTGGATGCCAGATATCTGTGATCCAATCAAGACTGAATCACAGAAATTTCCCGTATATCAAGGAATGATGGCAAAACACTAACCTAACCCTAAACCATAAACGACACTTCGTGATACCTAAGGAGTAAGGTTAGAACTTTAGACTTAGGGTTAGGGTAGGGTTGTTGGCATCATCCTTGTATACGCAAAGTCTGTGGCAGCAGTTGATGAACACAGAACATCGTGCATGGCAACTCTGCGGTGATACATAAGGTGCCTAAAGTGGATTTGCGCCCGCTTGAGTGTGTAAATAATTAATTACGTATCTGTGGAGCAAATACATGGTGGGTATAGACGGAATTTGTTATACAGTAAGTACAAGGTGTACGAAAATCCTATGAGGCAGCGTCCCTTTAATGAATAAACAAAAAACCTACAATTGTCCGAGTATATTACCTGATGATGACACAATTCCTTTGACTTGCTTCAATCTCGCGCGGCGCACTCTGCTCTAACCAGAAGAAACCTTCTACACATGACTTCGTTAGCAGTTTGAATATAAGCAACAAATCGGTGTGTCAACTGAACAAGCATCATTCGAAAACAATAAACATGATGAAAAGATATTATATACATAATACAAGCCAAGCGCAAAGTTACCAGATTAATTCTACTCGAATTATTGATTACGGTACGACTGCTCATCAGCGGAGTTAATGATGACAAAATCAGAAGGAGGTCGGATACCTTCTAATATAAACTTACTCAGACGATAATTCAAAATTACGAAACACGTTGAATTCCTCGCTGCTCAACAACAAAGGAATGACACACAATCGCCGCTTTACAGTCCTTTTCAGTCTGACATCATCACCCTAGGTGGTAATTGAATCATCATGCTCAGATCGATACAGAAATTATGTTTAATATTACATAAAACCGAATAGGATATAGAAGAAGATCTTCTGAAGTTCTATATCTAACGGTTTAATGTTTAACTTTACCATAGCAAAATGAATAAGATGTTCGGTGCTAAGCAACAGCTTTGAGGTATTATTTGCGTACGAATTTGAATGTAAAAGCTAAAATAAGTTGTTTATTGTTAAAGGCAACAAAAACAAAATGTACCATATATAATACGATAATATGAAACCGAAAGCCGCGCTTGATTGATCCCGCTTATGCGCGTGTTAATGCCGCTCGAGAAGTGGCAAAAATCAGTGGGCCAGTGTGTTATCCAGGCTGGAAGAATATATAAGTCAAAGACTAAGAAACATTAATTACATTACATTACAATTGATATAGCCTCTTGATAATTATACAGATAAATTAAAATAGATCATTAAACTGTTCTCATGACCTATGTACGTAGCACGTAATATGTCGACCAAAACAAACTCTTTTCGCTATGAATGGTTTCGCTTACGTCAGTGCGTAGACAGGCGCTCAGTGATGGGGGGAGGGATGCTTTCGCTGAAGCATTACTTCCATCGCAATTATATGAAGAGGGTGCGCGAGTAAGCGCACACGGGAGCCGCCCTGGCGCAAAGCATGAATGGATGGTGGGTGCCAGGGCCCGCCGTTAAAGGCCCCTGGCAGGGCAGGGGGTCAGGTGCAGGTGCAGGGGTAAAGCTCTTGGGATTTTAGCAATTTAGAACCTCAAGAATGGACAGTTGAGGAAATAAAAAAAATTGGATATCGTAAGTGCAATTTTGATTCAGGTAATTTTTCTTATGAATCCCAAGACGTAATAACACGCAACCCCCCCGCCCCAACACACACACAACAACCAGTGCGGACCAGAAGAAAATTCAGGGGGGGGGCGAATCACGAGTGCTCAAAAGCACGAAGCGCCCGGGGGGGGGGTTGGAGGGGGTTGTCCCCCTCCCGCACGGTGTGCGAAGGTTAAAAAGTGCAATCTAAATGCAATCACTTGGACATCTTATCAAATAGACTAGTCAGGATTTTCCTCCTCAGGCGTCCACCCTCCGTTTAGCGGGGCGGGGTCCGGATTTGTGAAAGTAACACCTGCTTCGAGCAATGCCTGCACATGAGGCAGCAGCTATAAACAATCGTCATCACAGAAAACATCAATGTAGTTGATATTTTACCTTGGACACCCCAAGACTAAAAATACTAACACCGAAATCTGTGCATCAAACATGTACATGTCCTCACTGGGATTACCAGTGCAGACATACCTTCGGCTAAAATACCTTGGCGCCTAAAAATCTAGAGGGCGCCGCCGCGCGTGCTAAACAGACACGACCCGTGACAATGCAGCCACCTGAATCACTCTCCCCTTGAATTGAATAAAGACGTATATTTTAGCGGGAGAACGTTAAAAAAAAATATGAGAAAACAACGCAAGATTTGAACGCAAAAAGTCGCATATTTAACACCCTAGTATTATACAAAACGGAAAACTTCGCGGAGGTCTCAGCACCGCCGCATGCCGCCCCCCCCCCAAAAGTGAGATGAAATTAAAATTCCATGCAATCCCTGTGAAAATCAAATATCCAACCCATAGGTCTATTCTAATTGAATAAAGCAAAGGATCAACTTTCGGAGCAGTGATAAAGAGCTTTGGGAGTGGGAAAAAAACGTAAGTACAGACCATTGTACAGAGAGGAAAGGCCTATTCACGTTCCATTCTGTAATAAACATTAGGAGAAGATAAAGCGAGACAGATTTAGAAAAGTATCCAGTATTAGCGTAAAATATTAAATTTGTCCTCATTCTTCCTGAAAGAGGGGGGATGAAAGCGCACGTACCCACACTCACATAAAAGGGGGGGATATAACCCCCAACCCCCCGCCGCTATCTACGCCCGCTGCAAGATGAACTCAAATTGAGCTTTTGATATGCATAGCAAATATCAAATCAATAATCTGTTAAGCAGTACACTCATGGCGCCGCGGAACATTTTTGAAGTGGGGTGCCCAAATTGTTTACGCCGACAGTGGCCAATGCAAGGTTTTCGAGAGGTGGTAAGAAACAGGCGGGTATGCGGGTCCCCTCAGAAATTTGAATCCCATATTTTCCTCCTGAAAGAGTAGGGGGAGATGAATTGTAGCAGCGCCCATCCCCCTAAGGTCAATAAAGTGGGATGCAATCGCCGCCTCCCCCCGCATCTACCCCCTGCTTACGTGTCGTCGTTTACGATATTATGGGAGTGCAGGGCCGGCGCGTGACCACTGGATAGCAAGGGTGCAGCTGCTCCCGGTATAAACAAAACAAGCTCATGTAATAATAATGAGTAACCCCAAAAATGCGAGTTTTATAATTCACAAAACAATTACAAACTACTCACAATTACATAGCTCCAAGAAACGGTATTGCTAGGGTTAGAATACCCTATACCCTAGATAGAGAATTGTATAGACAATCCGTCGCGCACAGCCTGGTCGGGCTAACAATTACAGTACTCTACACCAAGGAGCTACATATAACTCCTATATGTAGCTCCTTGCTCTACACGAGTCCGTAGAGAGATGCGTCCTGCGACCGGGCACAACTCTGAGTAGACGGCAATGGTAGACTGGTACCCGGTCCCACCTTTCGGCTTGGGGTTGTCTATATTCAGGCCGGTACAGGAGATAATTTGCATATTTTGTCAATGGTTTGTGTACATCAGATTGAATGCGCTATTCGGGACGGTCCACTCCAGCTGTATCGCAAAGCGATTCACGTGCAGAAGTGTGAAGCAATGGTTGGAGGTGGTGGAGAGCCAGAGAGGAGAGAAGCTGGTGGAAGAAGGAGGAGGGAGAACCGGTGAGAATAGGAAGTCGGAGAAGGATAAAGGTAAAAGCAGGAAGAGGGGAGAAGCTGGTGGAAAGGAGCGAGGGGGAGAAGCTGATAGAGAAGGAGGTGGGCCAGAAGCCTGGCGGGAAGAAGAGAGGAAGGGAGAAGCTGGTGAAGAAGGAGGAAGGGGAGACGGAGAAAGTGGTAGAAAAGAAGGAAAGGAAAAAGGAAAGTGTAGAGAAAGAGGGAGAAAGGAGAAAGGGTGGAAGAAGGAGGAGGGGAGAACTTGGTGGAGAAAGCAGGGAGAAGGAAAGGTGGTGAGAAGGAGAGGGGAAGAAGCCTGGTGGAGAAGTGAGAGGGGGAAGGGAGAAGGTGTGAGGAAGGGGAGAAGCTGGTGGGAGAAGAGAAGAGAGAAGCGGTGAAAAAGGAGGAAGGAGAGAAGGAGGGAGAAGGGAGCTATGAGGAGAGGGGGAGAAGGAAAGCGGATGGAGAAGAAGTAGGGGAGAAGCTGGAGGAGAAAGAGGAGTGGAAAGAGGAGAAGGTGTGGAGAAAAGGAGAGAGGAGAAGAGAAAGAGTGAAGGAGAGAAGCTGGTGAAAAGAGGAGGGAGAACTGGCGAAGAGGAAGAGGGAAGAGGGGAGAAGGGAGGCCGGTGAGAGGAGGGGGAGA